ACTACCCCAATCATCTTAATAATTCATCCAGAAGAGATTTTATTTCAGATGGTTAGGGGATAACCAGTTTCACCTCAAATTACAAATGTTTATTGATTCCTACTATAAGCAAGACTCAGGGCTAGCAGCCCCTGAGAGTGTACCCCTCCAAAATCACCTCTATACACTCAGTCCCTTTATTCTTTTCTCTCTTTTTCAAAGACATTGACACTGAAAATCATAAAAATAAGCATTTCTATGAATGTCTTTCTTTTCTAGATATTTATCATTAGATCTTTTGATAACTTTGCAAACTGTTTTCTGTCATAATATTCTTTTATTGCGGTAACATTGGTTTATAACATTATATAAATTTCAGGTGTCCATCCTTATATTTTGATTTCCATGTAGATTACATCCTGTTCACCACCCAAAGACTAGTCACAATCCATCACCACACGTGTACCTAATCACCCCTTTCACCCTCCTCCCTCCCCTCTTCCCCTCTGGTAATCACTAATCCAATCTCTGTTTCTGTGTGTTTGTTTATCATGGTTTTTATCTTCTACGTATGAGTGAGATCATATGGTGTTTGACTTTCTCCCTCTGACTTATTTCACTTAGCCTGATACCCTCAAGGTCCATCCATGTTGTCACAAATGGCCGGATTTCGTCATTTCTTATGGCTGAGTAGTATTCCATCGTGTATACATACCACATCTTCTTTATCCATTCGTCCCTTGATGGGCACCTAGGTTGCTTCCATGTCTTGGCTATTGTGAATAATGCTGCAGCAAACATAGGGGTGCATGAATATTTATACATTCATGTTTTCATGATCTTTGGATAAATACCCAGCAGTGGAATAGCTGGATCATATGGTAGGTCTATTCTTAATTTTTTTTAGGAATCTCCATACTGTTTTCCATTTTCTGTCATAATATTAAAGCAAAATTAAAACAATTTCTTTCATAAAATTAAAGCAAATTCTGATAATGCATTCAGATTATCTATTGATCAGTCAATATTTACTTGTATAAACTCATGAGAAAGAGTAGATTTACTTGTCAATAAAGAGTGATTGTCTTTTTTGAAAAGAGAGAATAACAGACTTTGTTGACCATGACAATTTGGTTGTTCCCATTTACAGGATAACACACCTTAGAGGTGTAACCACCATCTCATTAGAGCCAGTTCAAACAGACCCTGTCTCTTATCAACAGAGTGATTAAGAATTGTTTTTCATGGGGCAGGCTCTGTGGCTGAGTGGTTAAGTTTGCGTGCTCCGCTGCAGCAGCCCAGGGTTCAGATCCTGGGTGCGTACATGGCACCACTCGTCAGGCCACGTTGAGGCGGCGTCCCACGTCCCACAACTAGAAGGACCAGCAACTAAGATATACAACTGTGTACAGGGGACGTTTGGGGAGATAAAGCAGAAAAAAAAAAAAAAAAAAGATTGGCAACAGTTGTTAGCCGAGGTGCCAAATCCTTAAAAAAAAAAAAGGAAGATTGGCAACAATTGTTAGCCCAGGTGCCAGTCTTTAAAAAACAGCAAAATTGTTTTTCAGAAAATTCACAAAGTCATGTAGCCAGAGGATGTGCAGAAGAAGAAATCTTGACCTGAAATGACCATGAATCCAAAGGTTCTTGTCCGCACGGAACCAAAGGGCCAAGACGTGACTGAAACTTAAAAGTTGGCCTCTCACCAGAAGTGAGGGGTCCATCATCCAGGAAGATCTGGTGTTAAAACTCTTTCCACCCCTTACCATGAATGTTTAAAACCTCACCGTAAATGCTTAAAGCCCATCAATTAAAACGTATCCCACCAGCATTTCCGCATGCCAGCCTGCTCTCCCTAACCTCTTAAAATTCACCCCAAATCCTGAATTGGGGAGACAGCTCTGAGAGCGCATCTCTCCTGTCTCCTTGCAGATCGGTCTTGTAAATAAGGCTACTTTTCTTTTCCCAAAAGTTGATGCCATAATTAATTGGCTTTTTTATGTGTATTGGATAGGAGGACCCCATTTTTGTGCACTAACAGAAGTAATTAAAATAAATAAAACCCATTCAGGAAGAACATATGAATGAGAATATAATTTCTTATATAAAGACATTAATTTCTTAATTCTGTTATTGATTCTGTTGTTCAGAAAGAAAGAGCCGGATATTGCAAATACATGTGTGAAGCTCTTTACACAACAATAGATAGTAAATTTCTGTTCTTTCAGTCGAATTGTAGAAGGGGCCTAACCTCCCACTAGAGGGCATCTTTATCCCATTTGGTCTTTTGCACAGTAAATAACAGCAACCAATCTTTTGTTAATGTTGTTCCATTACCTTTTAACTACACCTGACCCTAAGGAGAAAGTTGTGAATGATCCTGATGTTAAAAGAACTTTTAGAAACACACACACATGCAAACACACACACACACGCACACACACAATCTTTTTCACTAACAATTCCAGTATTAACAACTGTTATTGTTATGAAATAGTTTTTGGAACAAATTGTCATTCTTCCTTATCCCCTCTTTTCCACAAAAAAAGCCCCTTTCAATATGGACAGCCTGAATATAATCAACATCAAAATATATTTATTATATAATTTGTTATATACTTTATAAAATAGAGAATTATATCAATGGAAAAAATCACAAAGGAAAAGATGAGAATACATTTGACTCCATACAAAAATTAAATATTTAAAAAGTATAAACAAAATTGAACTGCAAATAACAAACTAGAAAAATAATTGTCACAAATATAATTGTCACAAATACGTAGAATGAGTTAACAGCCTTAATACCTATGAACACCTCATGCAGATGCATAAAACACTAAGCTCCTGGTAAAAGTAGAGACAGTGTGAACAGGTAATTTAATGAAAGCAGTTAACAAGTTAATAACCCTTATTAATAATCTAGGAAACACAAAAATTATGATATGCTTCCTAACCTATAAAGTTAGGGAAAAGATAATAAATGTTAATGAGGGTGGAGGGAGCATAATTTCATGCACTGTAGGTGTAAGAAAGTGCTGATTGTCAATGTGAAAAGCTTGAACTGGAAAATCTTCATTTGCTGGCCCACACGGTCAAGACTGGTTCAGGCAAAAGTCATCGATAGGTGCTAAATCTAGAGGGACATTTTTGATGAAGAGCAGGATATTTTCATGGTCTTACGTAAGACCTCCACTGTAAGGGAGAAGGGGGAAAAATAATTTTTTCTTTATCCTTCTAGGTTCTATGGCCGAGATTTCCCTGCGATAAAAGACAGATTAACAAGAGAAAAACAAACGGAAATTTATTAACATGCATGCCTCATTTATACGTGGGAGATGCTCGGGAAACCTGACTAAAACTCTCCAAAATGGCCCAAGCTACCTCCTTGAACACCATCTTCAGGGAGGACAAAAGAAAGATGTTGAGGGTAGGAGAAGTAAGGAGGCCAGCTACGGAAAGTCATCAGGAAAAACGCGGTGAGCGAGGGTGAGGTTGTTAGGCAGATTTAAGTCTGTTCTTTCTCCATTGATAAGCGTTTCTTGTGGTTTGGAGTCATCCTTCTCTTCCTGGCACAGAGAAGGAGACTCCTAAAAATGGAGGTTTCCTTTACAAAACAGTAAATTCTGCTCTGTAGAGCTTCTCTTGTGTCTGCTGTTTCTTAAAAAATAAACAGCTCAGAATAATTCTTATGCCAAAGAGACATATTTTGAGCTGGTAAGTCCTGCTCCCCTCCAGTCCTGCCTTTGAAACTTCTGTAAGAATTTTCAGTCCAGAAGATGAGTTGGTGGATTTCTCCAGCTCATTGAACCCGTTCCTTAGTCCTGAGAATAGCTCAGTTCAGTTAACGAGTTGTGTCTCATTTCAGGAGCTGGTGATGCAGGCAGGCTCCCAAAGTTACACCTATATGATTCGAGAAATCAGGTATTTAACAAAAGGCATTTCTATGGAAACAAAAGAAAAACGAATGTTAATGTTTGGAGCAGACTATAAACCCAATTTCTGAGTCCTGAGGGCGGCCAGTGATTTATAGATGTTGGGCTCGAAGCACGTTTTGGAGTTTGATTGTCTCTGGTGATGTCATCAGGTGCTCCGGTAAACTTTCTGAGTGCCTCAGCAACAAGCATGCAGGTTGTCCATACATGAGCTGTTGCAGTGATTTCTCTGAAGTTCCTATCAAGTCGTCCAGCTTCATTTTGCAGGGAAAAGGGCAGTGTTTGTTCTTAGTGACAAAGTCGGAAGGGTGGAAGAGAATTGGAACTGTGAGCTTGGAGTGTCATAGGCAGATACTTGAGGGAACTAGAAAAATTCAGGATACAGTCCAGTTTGCAGGTAAAGAATGAAACCTCAAAGACAATTACCAGGACTAGAATCTAGTATTCACCAAAGATGTGCTAGTGAACATAATTTTTCTCACAGACTGCTTATTGGCAACAAGAGAAAAAAAATGCCTAACTATAATGTGAACAACCTAGACCAACACCTTGACCAGGAGATCAAAATTAACTTCACAAATGAGGAACAGATGGCATACACATTGTGTGCCTCCAGATGTGGTCGCCTGAGGACACAACATCACTAATGTACTATTCTAGCTAGGATGCATAATCTGAAACTAACCATGAGGAAATGTTAGACAAACTCAAAATAAGGAATATTCAAGTTTTGAAATGGAGGGCCAACTTGCTTCAACTATACTCAGCTGTTTGTTTGCAAAAGTAGTTAGATAATGCATTACTAAAACCCACCCTGTAGACAACATCTCTGAGGCTTGGGTCACCATGGTGACGAGTGGACTCCTTGGGTATCAGGGGTAAATATGATAGGAAAATGGTTCAGAAAAATATGCATATTCTCTTTCTGAGTTTAAAACTCTCTCTCTATTTATCTAGAGAGACAGAGATACATGAAGGGAATAATGACCCACCAGAATTGCATAAAGATTACTTTAAATGGGAAACATTTGAGCTAGAAAAGATGCATAAAGAAATCTTATCTGAACTTCCCTTAACTGACTAAAGCAGAGTCCCCCAAAAATATAGCCACCATTAACCCCCCTCCGATGGAGTTTCCTGTTTGGGAGAAAACACTCTCAGCACCAAGAAGTGAGAATTCAGCTGCCATAAATTCTCCTCCAGGGGGATTTCCAGCCAGGAAGGAGACGGCCCATTAAAATCAATATGAAAAAGCCCAATAAAATCATCCATGTTTTCCCATTGAAGCCCTTAACACCCCCTTGTTCCCTGTTAAGCAGTTGTATAAACTGTATGAGTATACCCACATATATGTAAATAAACTTTGTCTTTTCTCCTGTGAATCTGGCTATTGTTTGTTCATTTGCAGGCCCCCACCACTGCACTCTGACCTAAGTTGCTGGAGGAAAAGTTTCCCCCCAACAAAGAGCAAATGATAAAGCAAATGAGACAAGATGTTGATGATAGGTGAATCTTGGTATAGTGTATATTGGTGTTCTTTGTTCTTGCAAGTTTTCTGTAAGTTTGAAATTATATCCAAAGTTAAAAATAAAGCAAAACAAAAAATAGCTACTATTGAAACAATATACATAATAGCAATAAAGAAAAATGGAGAACTATTAAATAAGTTTTTATGTATCCTTTTAATGTTATCAAACAGTCATCAAAACTAATGTTTTTAAAAATATTCCATAACATGAGAGCATGTTACATAAATGGTCCTTTAAAAAAAAAGAAAAGTAGAAATCAAAACAATCCATACAGAATGATCCCAATTAAGTCAAACATTAACTAGCTTATGAGTTGTCCCAGATGTCAAATAAGGTAAGAAGTTCCCAATAAAATTGATTTCAGGGGCCGGCCCCCTGGCCGAGTGGTTGAGTTTGCGTGCTCCACTTCAGCGGCGCAGGGTTTCAGCGGTTCGGATCCTGGGCATGGATATGGCACCACTTGTCAGGCCATGCTGAGGCAGCGAGCGTCCCACATAGCACAACCAGAGGCACTCACAACTAGAATATACAACTATGTACTGAGGTGCTTTGGAGAGAAAATAGAAAAGAAAAAATTGGCAACAGACGTTAGCTCAAGTGCCAATCTTTAAAAAAAATTGATTTCAACTTTGTAACAGCTGTAGGAGTTGAGATGCGTCTGTTGGGGTGGAGGAGCGGGTGGAGAAGGGAGTACTACATTTCCGCTTATCATCTCTGGATCTAAACTCTTGCTCTTAATAAATTGTTTCTATGTAAGGATGCATCTCTCTTCTCTAGAACATGGTTCCCATGTTCCTTTTTCTTGACTTCCTTCTAAAGCATAAAATAAGTAATTTGCATGCTTAGGGGAAATAAAAGTCCTATCAACAAAGACAGACCCCTCCACGTGAATGCAGAAAGAAAGAAAACTGATTTCATACTTGTGATATTGTGATTTATAAGAAATCTGTATTTAGTTATTCAGATGACCAAAATATATTTCTCATATATATTTGGTCTTGGTTCACAGTTCCTGGTCCACAGCTCCCAAAACCCTTGGAAATTCATAAGTATGGAGAGTGATAAAAGTGTCTTCTGTTATGTTAACGGTGTGACTTTTAGAAAGCACCTAGGGTGGGGCTGGTTGCCAGTAGAGCCAATCATGTGATTAGAGGGTTGGAACTTTCAGTCTCATCTCCTAACTTCCAGGGAGAGGAGAGGGACTCGAGGTGGACTCAATGGTGCCATTGTAATGAAGCCTCCCTAAATACTCAAAAGGATGGGGCTTGGAGAGCTACCATGGGGTGGATGAATATGTGGTGACTAGGGGGAGTGGTGCACCTGGAGAGGGATGAAGTGCCACACGCTTTCCCCACACCTTCCCCTATTCACCTCTTCCATCTGGCTATCCTTGAGTTATATCCTTTTAGAGTAAACTAGTAATCTAGGAAATGAAATGTTTCTGAGTTCTGTGAGCCGCTCTTGTAAATCAATCAAACACAAGGAGGTCGTGGGAACCTCTGATTTATAGCCAGTTGGTCAGAAGTAGAGGTAACAACCTGCACTTGGAACTGGGGTCTGAAGGGGGTCTGGGGAGCAGTCTTGTAGGACTGAACCCTTAGTCTGTGGAATCTGATGCTGTCTCGGGTAGTGTCAGAATTGAGTTTAATTCTCGGACACTCTGATGGTGTCTGGGAATTGCTTGGTGTGTGGGAAGCATACTCTAACACACATGCTGGAATTGGGTCCAGGAACCTAATTTAGCGCTGAGTAAGCACAACACAGTAGCTCATACACTTAGCTTGTGAGTAACTATGAAGTCAGGATGCAATTTCATACAATTAATTGAGTAAAGCAGAAGAAAAAATCATTAAACTTCTCTTATCTCCTTGAGAGACAAAAAATTACTCAAGATAGCCTACCAGGTTAACTCCAGAGTTGTGTGTGGATATTTCAAGAGGTATGAAGCCCAGACCTTGGAGACATCTCTGCATAAAGAAACAAAAGATGGGGCTTATCTAGCCCTGGAGAGATTGATCTACACTCCAAAAAGACTGAGTAGGGACTCAAGGACCGTTCTGTTTCTAGAGACCTTTTCAAAACAGAAGGAAGGAGGAACGTTCTTCTTCCTCTTTGTAGGCAGAGAGAAATCATTTTTATTTATCCCCACATGTGTGCAGCAGCTTTTCAGACTTTTGGAATGATGCATATGAACGGCAGGACCACGTGATGGGGCACCGGGCAAACAAGTGAGAGTTGAACTTTAAATTTCCTTGTTGTTGAAGTCTTCTGCCACCCCAGAGACTTGAATTTGGCCCGGACCACCTCTATCTCAGCCGGATCTGGCCTCTTGACATGTTTTCTTATTCCTTATCTGACTCCACATGCCCTGCTTCTCCCCTTTGGACAGCTTTCTCCCTTAGATATGCCCTAAGAAACTCAATTTCCCGTGCATTATTATGCAAAGCGATTTCATTTTCCATCCACTATTAGGCTCTGGAGCATCGAAAGACATTTCCACTCTCAAATACTTTAACACCTGGGCGTCAACTCCAGATCCCACTCTTTATCTGCAGGGAAAAATGGCAGAGGCTTTGCAGTGTCAATCTTGTCTTCCTTTCCCACTAATCTTTGAGGGGAAAAAAGAGAGAAGTAGAGATGTACCACTCAACTGCTGATGTGAATTACACCATCTTTCCCCTCCAGCCCCCTCAAAGGCAGAAACGGCTAGACTCAGGTTTGGTCTAAAATAATTTCTTTTCTTTGATTTTTTCATATTTCTTTGTTCTAAGATATCTATTTTTATTCACATCTTATCTAAAAATTGACATATATCTTACATTTGCTATCAAGAGATGAGACACCACTTTTATATATGAAATTAGCAAAGGTTTTGGTTTTGTATGACTAGAGGAGTTAAAATATATATTATCAGTAGCTAGCTGAGTAGTAATTTGGCATTGATAACCATATTCAAGATTCAATTTTAACGTAAGTTTGGGGTCGTAATTTTCTTAAATTGTCTTCGAAAACTTCACCCAAAGAGCACAGAGATAGAGCTGCAGAAAGTACACACTAGGTGAAGGAAATATTAGCCACTAAGGAAGACCACACATAGATAAAGCTGCCTTTCTTATTGTCACTAATACAAGTCCAAAATGATGGCTTGTCACATGCCAGGAAATGCTGTCAAAAGGCTGGAGAAATTATCAGAGTTTTTGGAATAGATCATAGAATTTTCAAGGCTAGGGGAGTTTGGTATGACCCTTCCGTGCTTCATGAAGGACTCTTTCTGAGACGTTGACCATCAATCTGTCAAAAGCCTCTTGCTGATTTTTAGGAGAAGCTATTTATCTTCCTCCAAAATAGAATTCAGTTCAGGAATGCAACGAAACCTATGAGTTTAACCAAATAGGTAACACAGTCCAACCCTGAAATTCCTTGATAAGCTTCAAAATAAAACTGTCTGCAACTGTCTGCCTGAAGGCTGTCAGAGAAATGACGATCAAGAGCGTGTGTTCTGGACATTACCATGTCTCCATGAGGATCTGCAGAGATCTTCATACCCAAAATGTGGGAAGGGCCTGGGCTCGGATTTCAATTGCAATCCTGAAGAGCAAAGAGGTCATTATGTAGATGCATTGTATTAGTCTGCTCAGGCAGTCAACACAAAATGCCACAGACTGGGTGGCTTAAACAGGAGAAATTTATCTTCTCACAGTTCTGAAGGCTGGACGCCCAAGATCAAGGTGTTGGCAGGGTTGGTTTCTCCTGAGGCCTCCTGGTTTGAGACTGCCGCCTCCTTGCTGTGTCCTCAGGTGGCCTTTCCTCCGTGTGCCCTCACTTTGGTGTGTCTCCTCGTGTCCAAATTTCCCCTTCTTATAAGGATGCCAGTCAGATTGGATTAGGGTCCCCACCCTAATAACCCCAGCTTAACAGAATTGTCTCTTTAAGGGCTCTGTCGCCAAACGCAGGCACATTCTGAGGTCCTGGGGGTTAGGGCTTCAACAAGTGGAGTTTGGGAGGACATGATTCAGCCTGTAACATGTTTGTGTAGAAAGCCAGTAGGAAAAAAATGTAATGAACTATTACATTTACATAATAAACTATGCCCTTCACCCCGTTTCTCTTCATTCCTGGAATCTAAGATGTCTTCAAATATAAGATTTCACTTCAAGTTAATTACTTGAAGTTAATTATAGAAACTTTGGAAAATAGAGAAAAACGTAAAGGAGAAAATCCTACCCCACCTCCTTTAAACTTTTCTAAAATTTCTATAATGAACGTGTATTGATTTATAATAAAAAGTTATCTTTTGAAATAAATGGAATGTACTTAAGGTCTATTCTCTCTGGGAAAGAGGTGGCTAAATGACGACCAGTCTCCTTAGCTCCCATTCATCCCACTCCCGATTGAGCCACCATTTGAAGGAGAGAAATCATAGACTGTCAGGACTGCAAGGGTTGAATGCAGCCACACAGCATCATAGGATTAAGAGCTAAGAGTGCCTGGTCCTTATGATTTTACCATTTGACTGTCTGTAAGAAAATGAATTTACTATTTTAAGAAATTCTTGCCCAGGAAAATAAAATTGCAATTAACTGTGTGGTTTCTTTTAGGAATTTCCTGAAAGTACTAAGCTAATAACAATAGTCAGCTCAGCTCAGCTTATCAACTGTGAGACTTGCTTTGAAACCCTCCCCTTGCTGTATCCACCAATCGTAAACTATTACCTCCCGACTTTGCCAATCCTCCCCTCCACTCCACAAACCCCAGTCCTCTCCCTCGTCCCTCTCCCCCTGCATTGCAAGGCCCACTTAAACAGTACCCTAAAATATCTCACAAATATCCTGCCTTTGCGCTCCTCACTCTGA